GAGCGCTACCACGGCTTCCACCACGACGGGCTCGAGCACCTCAGTGGTATGCAACTCCGCGGAAGCGGGCTCCACCGCGGTGAACCTCATGACGGTGTCGCACACCACGTCTATACATATATATATATATATATAGAGAGAGAGAGAGAGCCATCTGGCACCGCCTCCGTGACATTCAGGTGTTGGGATCTTCTTGTTTACCGTCGGTCACGTTTGATCGCCAGCCCCATGCAGTTGATATCTCTCCAGTTGGCATCTTGGTTTCGAGGCGATCGGGGACCGTCATGTTGGGTGTACCGACCTATCCGCCGCAGGCTCTTGTTCTGGTGACATATGCCGTTGTGACCCCCTGCTCGATCTCTGTCTACACCTGGCTCCGCCCATGTGTCCTCCCCCTAGTCTCAGATTTACTTGAAGCGTCCCAAAGCGCAGGGGATCGTTTATTCACGCGCAGTTGCGGGGTTCAGCATAACGACCTCTCGATACGCTTATGCGGATCACGACGGTTACCAGTTGCACGTCTATCGGCGGCATGATGGCCTCCAGCGGTGGGGAAGATGCTGAACAACACGACGGTAAGTTGATCCGTATCTGTGTGAGGTACAATTGGCCGTGGCGTCAACGGTGGTATATGCACATTGTGCGTCTGCCACGCAGCCTTTGTCCCCCTGGTGGCGCCTGCGTTTCCTCCTCCTCCTCCTCCCCATCCTCCTCTAGCCCCCGTGTGAGTCCTTTTGTTTTGGTCTCAGGCCTTGGTCCATAGGGCATGTCTCATTTCCCTGGCCTGATTCATCGTCGTTTTACGGCTTGTTGTACTATAGTGCGCATGCCCCGTCGGTTCTGTTTTTAAGCAACAGTCGCCAGATCCTCTATATCACGCTGTAGCGCAGTTTCGTTGGCGTGTTTTACAGGTCATGAGGTCGAGGCGGTTGGTTGCTTTGCGGTCAAAAAATTGAGTGTTGCATAATGCTTGCTACATCGATTTATGTTCGACACGACGCTTACCAGCAGCACGACGAAGAACAGCTTGACATCATGCAGCTGTCTGGTGCTGAACAGCACGCCTGGGATCAGCGTCGAGGTTCTGACATCCACGTCAAATGAGCACAACCGTCACCATCAGCATGACGATGCGCAGCACGACGGAACCCAACAGTACGACGCTGATAGTTCGATGTCGCACAGCTTGGCAAACAATACGTTTACTCGTGCATCACATTGGTCATACGGCCACCAGCAGCACGACGGTGAGCAGGACGACTGATTACAATAATGCGATGTTGACCAGCACGACGGAGTCCGACACGAAGATTCCTACCTTCACATCGGTGCAGCCCCGCTCACCACCGACGCCAGCTCCGACGCCAGCCAAGACAGCAGGGATCTGGACACAATGGCTTGTTTCGATTCCCCTTCTGACGTCTGCTGAAACATCGCTTTGCACTCGCCTCGATATCCATCGGAGAGGGGGGAACCATTTGTCAACCTTTTGTCCCTGCCGCGTGGCCGATACTCGCGACGTGGTGGGGCACTGAGAAGCCACTCAGCATGGTGTCACGCATCTTTCACCAAGATATGCTCGAACACCACCTCGATACTGAGGCGCTGCACGAGGGGCACCAACAGCACGACGTTGGATAACGCGATGGAGTCCTGCAGTATGACGCTGGGGAGCACGACGGAATGCAGCATACCGAATTGTGCATCCACGTCCAGGCTGACACGGCTACCAACAGCACGACGCGGACCAGCACTTCCAGGCTCCAGCAGTAATATGCTGAACCCCACGCCGGGATGCAGCACAAAGATTGTTACACCCACACATGCGCAGTAGCACGGCCACAAGTAGCACGATGTGTAGCAGCACGACGGGTTCCTGCAGGACCACGCGGAGCAGCACGATGCGGCGCCGCACACCGACTCCTGCATCCACCGCGGGGCCGCGCGACGGCCAGCTACACGATGATGGTGATCACGATGTGTTCCAGCAGCATGATGGGGCTCACCTTTACCACTCGAGCCTCCACCTGTGCGCAGAACTACGTTCCGGCTCCTGCCCCGATTCCGGCACAGCTCGACGACGCAGGCCTCGCTTGGGACGGTTGCGCTGGGGAAGACGACCAGGATCACACCCTGTTTTTCGGCCCCAAGCTAGTTGCAGGTGCGCCTGTGGTGGGATGGCGAGACATCGTATTTCAAACGTCGCGCTGCTGGGGATTCTTGGGAACGTCCCGTGTCTTCAAGTTCAGGGTTGTGATGGCGGCCCGCGTGTGCGTGTAGGTTCTTCAATCGCCTTCCGGCCCCTCTCCTCTCTCCTCATGTATCCCCTCGTGCATGCCCACGTGTATCGATCAGTTGAGTGCGTCTGTTGTCCCTGCGTGCTGGCCCGCCAGTGTCAGAGTTCATGATAGGCGTGCATGCTCTTGATACGCTCTGGGCCAGTGGCAAGCGCTACGGCATGTTCTCGGCGCCGCGGGGTCATTTCATTCTACCATCTCAAGTTATATTGTCGACGGTTCTGCACTCCTTGCAAGACATCGTTTTCGATTGTAGGTGGTTTGCCAACTGATCCCTCTCTCTCGCTCTCTTTCTCTCCTCCTTCCCCCGCTCGCATCGGATCTCTGTGCGACTACTCCAGGCTACACCCTGGCTGGTCTACACATTCGCGAGTTTAGATTGCTCCTCTTGATGTCCTCCTCCTCCTTCTTCCAATGGTTGTCAACCCTGGCCGTGGTTCTGTATTGCGGTTGTTCGCTGCAGTCATTTTGGCGTCCACGTTGCCCGTTCTTTCTCTTCCATCTCGCTCTCCTTCCTCTTTGTTCAGGCCGTGTCCCACGATTTCAGTGGCAGCGCGATTTGATTATTATTACTCTCTGATGTCTGATATGTATGAAGGCTTGCTTAAGGATGCGTTCCGTGAAACAAGAACTTCTCCTCGTCCTCCTCTAGAGTCCCACGCCAGGGGCGGACTTGGGCCCGTGCATTCAGTTCCAGTTCCAGCAGAGGCAGGGAAGATGGGTGAAGTTGTCTCCCTGAGCCCACTCAGGCGCCAATATTTTGACCCGACGATGCTGGGAGATGTTGACAGTCGGCACCCCCTAGCCGTTCTACGTTCTACACCATTATCGAAGGTTGTTTCGCGTCGTCTTTCGGTAGTTGTCCACGACTCGATCCCTGCGGTGTTCGGCGTTCTTGTCGAAGGTCTCCAACGATTCTCGGATTCTGGGAGGTGTTCGCCGAGTTTCGGCAGTTTTCGGCGGTCTTTTCCGGCTTTCGGCACTTTCGCGTCCCCCCCCCCGTCGTCATGTTCGTCCTCTTCTGCGTAACCTCCCACCTCCTTCCCACCCCTGGCGTCATCACCGTATGCACTACCTTTTCCCCCCTATTCTTTTCATCGTGACTCATCGTGGTCTTCCTCCTCCGCCTTCTTCGCTCCCCGTCCTTCGCCCCCACTTGTCGTCGAGATCCTCCTCCTCGGCCCCCCCGTCGTCGGTCTCATCCTCCTCCTCATCCCCCTCATCATCATCATAGTCATCCTTCCGCCTCGGTCTGCTCGCCCTCCTCGTCTCCTCCCCCGGCCTCCTCGCCTCCTCCTCCTCGTCTTCTCTTTTTCTCAGCGCTCCAACCTCCACCATCAAGCATTTGACTCTTCACTACTACCTCCTCGCATCGCGCCCCAGACCCCGCAAGCTCAGCCCCCCGACCTCCAGCCTCCAACCTCCGACTTTCCACCTCCACATCCACCTATCGACCGTCTGTCTCTGACAGCGCCACATTTCGACCTCCATCACCCAGCATCCGACTTCCACTCGCACCTCCACCTATCGACCTCCAGCCTCCACCAAATCGGCACTCCGACCTCCACCGTCGGACATCCGACTATCAGGCTCCGCCAGCTCAACACAGTGACTTCAAGCCTCCAGCATCAGACTTTCCACCTCCACCTCCACCTATCGACCTCCAGCGTCCACCAAATCGGCACTCCGACCTCCAGCCTCCATCATCCGACTTTCCACCTCCCCCTCCACCTATCGACCTCCGGCGTCCACAAGCTCAACACTCCGACCTCCGGCCTCCAGCATCCGACTTTCCACCTCCACCTCCACCAATCGACCTCCAGCGTCCACCATCTCAGCACTCCGACCTCCAGCCACCAGCATTCGACTTTTCCACTTCCACCTCCACCTATCGACCTCCAGCGACCACCATCTCAGCACTCCGACCTCCCCGCTCCCCGCTCCTCCTAGCCCCCGTCCCCCCTCCTCCGTACCGTCCTCCCCGTGCGGCCCCCTCGCTGGCCCCCCTTCGATCGTTTGTGGAGGGGCGCAGCTGGGGGGGGGAACCACAGGTTCGCCGCTCGATTCGGTCCGCTTCGGTTCGGTCGGTCCTCAACGGTGGCGGCGCGCATCGTGAGGCAGGCGGTGCGTGCACCTGCTGCCCCTCGGCGCTGGCATCGCTCGGACGTGTGCTTTTTTCCTCGGCGAGGACCATCGAGGAGCATCCTTGATCATCTGGCGAAAAAGCCACGCACGAAACCGAAAAAAAGACACAGGGAGTGGACGTCCGAGCGATGGCGAGCGGCCGTGCACGGTCGGGCTGGCTTCTCAGGGAGGCCCCGCCCGTAGGCCGCTGCTCGCCGCCCCTGCGGTCCGTCGCGCGAGGCCCGCGCCGGCGCAGCCGGGCCACGGGCTGCGCCGCCCGATCCCTCCAGGCCTGCAGGCGAAGAGGGCTGCGCTCCCCGCCGAGGGCACGCGCGCCGGAGAGGGCGCCCACGGAGCGCACGCCCGGTGCAGCTCGGAGGGGCCGGGAGGAGGAGGAGGAGGAGGAGGAGGAGGAGGAGGAGGCGGAGGAGGAGGCGGAGGAGGCGGAGGAGGAAGAGGAGGAGGCGGAGGAGGAGGCGGAGGAGGAGGAGGAGGCGGAGGAGGAGGAGGAGGCCCCCCTGCCGGGCGGGAGCGCGCAGCGCAGGGGGGCGCAAGAGGCCGCAGCTCCTCCCTCGCCAGGCCCCGGCCGCTGCGGCCTTCGCGCCCGCGGGGGGCAAGCCGCTCAGCATCACGGAGGTGGTCCGGGCGGGGATGCAGCCGCCAGGCGGCGCCCCGCGCTGCAGGGGGGGAGGGGGAGGAGGAGGAGGAGGGCGGGGAGGGCGGCAGGAGGAGGAGGGCGGGGAGGAGGAGGAGGACGGGGAGGAGGAGGAGGGGCGGGGAGGAGGAGGGCGGGGGGAGGAGGAGGGCGGGGAGGAGGAGGGGCAGCAGAAAGAGGGCGGGGAGGGGGAGGGGGCGAGGAGGAGAAGAAGGGGAGGAGGAGAGGCTGCGATCGGCCTCGGGAGGCGGTAACACGGGAGGAGGTGATGATGAGGAGGAGGAGGACGACAAGAAGCAGCAAGCACATACCAACAAACAGCAAGCAACAGACAACACACATAACATAACAGGCGACCAACACCACACAACAAGCAATGCACAATTTCGTATAGATGTGCACGTTCGTTTTTATATATATATATATATATATATATATATATGTATAGATGTATGCATGTGTGCATGCATGTATGTATGTATGTATGTATGGATGTATGTATGTATATATGTATGTATGTATGTGTGCATGCATGCATGTATGTTTGTATGTATGTATGTATGCATGTGTATATGTATGTATGCATGCATGCATGCATGTATGTATGCATATATGTATATATGCATGTTTTTTATATATATATGGTTGGTTGTGTGTATGTATGCATATATATATATATATATATATATATATATATATATCCATAGATATCTGTATGTATATGTGTATGTGCGTACACGTATACGTGCATGTGTGTATGTATACATACATACATCCATGCATACAAACATACATACATACCTACAAACATACATACATACACACACGCACCTACATACATACATACATACATACATACATACATCCATACATACATACATACACACATACATACATATATGCATACACAGATACACATACATACATACATACACACATACATACGTACATACATGCATACATCTATGCAGGTAAGTCTGTGTGCATGTGTGTACACCTTCTTGCAGTATGCATGTATGCATGTATGTATGTACACAGACATGTATGTATGTATGCAAGCATGTGTGTATAGGTATGTATGAATACATGCACGCATGCATGTATGGATGTACGCATCTACACGTGGGCATGAATGTGTTTGTATGCGTGACTGCATGTATGTGCGCGTGTACATGTTATTGCATGTAGTTGTGCATGGATGAGCGTGTATGCATATGTATATGCGTATGTTCATTGCATGTTCATATGCCATCAAGGTTGAAACCGTTGTGTTCTGGACGCCCCGCGGCCGCGATACGGTCAAGGGGGGGCCCAGGGGGGAGGGTGGTCGTCCCCCCCCCCCCTGGGCCCCCCTTGCCACGAGACGCCGCAGTCAAGGGGGGGTGCCCGTGGGTGCGTCCGAGGTCGAAACCGTGGTGTCCCGAGGCCCCCCCCCCCCAGCTGCGAGACGCGGGGGCGCTCAAAGTTCAACCCGTAGTGTTCTGCGGAGGCGCCCCCCCGCAGCGTGACGCGGTCAAGTGGAGGTGCCCGAGGGGCGCTCAAGATTGAAGCTGTGGTGTTCTGGACGTCCCGCGGCCGCGAGACTCGGTCAAGGGGGAAGCGTCGGTGGAGTTGTGTTCTGAGATGTTCTGTCCGCAAAAGAGCCCCAAGAGGACTCCAAGTTGACAATGTTTTGTTTGGCATTTCCGATTCTTTTGATTGCACCATTGGGATTCACAAGTTGTCGGCCAAAGATTACTGCTCAGGGGTTTCGGGCAGGCGGCGACCGTTTCAACAAGCCCTCCGAGGGTCCGCAGCTTGTTCTCGGATGCCCCCATTGCCCCAAAGACCGTCGAGCGGATCGAGTTTCGGCCTCAGTAGGCCATCGTATTGCCTGAACATGTTCCGATATACGAGTGCTCAAGATGTCTCCGTACTTGCTAAAAGAGTTCAAGAAGAGGTCGTAGTGGTTCCCAAAGTGCCACTGGACGGGCCACTTGAGAGTCACCACAGGTCTCTCAGCTGGCCCAGGCACGACAGACCCTGTTCCGACGTGTACTTCATGTATGGCCCCACGAGTCCACGAGAACCCCGTAAAAAAGGCCTCTTATTCCCTCCGTCCCTCATTTTTACCTTCCATCCCTCCGCCCTCCTTCCCATCCGTTTGTTTCTCCTTCCGCCGTCTCCTTGCTCGACTCTTCTCTCATCCTTGCTGCGGCCCGTGTTATGGTTTCTCCCTCCTTCCCTCCTCGTTCTTCCCTTTCCTCTCTAGCCCTTCCTCTGTGCAGGTGGCCTGGTGGGGCTTACGAACTCCAGCCCTGGTTCCTTTGGTTCTTTTGTCGGAATACCCGTCCCCACGCGATCCGAAATCCACGTTCATTGGGCTGTCGGGTTCGCCATATCTCTTGCATCCGTTCGCAGTGGATTGTTTTGCATTGCGTGTGTATTGTTTACTAGTGCTTCACAACGTGTTCTTTTGTAACAGTGTACAGCTTTGTCTTGAGCTGCATTGTGTGGCATTTCTGTATAGTTGTTTTGCGAACGTTGCATTGAACAGCGTTGCGTTCCTTGCGGCACGATGCGTTGTTGTGAGATCTGTTTAATGTGATGAGCGTAATCGATTTCATTGCCCTTGCAAAGCGTTCGATTCTTCCTAGCGGTTTCGCACAGTTTCGCGTTGCGTCCCCTTGAAGATGCCGAGGCGTACCTTTGACAATGATGCTCGGTCCGCCTTCGAGCTACTTGTGTTTCATGTCAAGGCCACTGCATGTATGAATATGTGCGTACATGCATACAGGGGTGAACGTGTTCAGGCCGGGTGCCCGCTAGAACCGACGCGCGCGCGAAGCGTACGAGTGATCAAATATGTACAATATTCCTATGTAAATATGTGTGTTCGTGTATATATACACACATAAATGACGTGAGGCTCAGAACGGTTTCGGCCTTGCCGTTTCGGGCCCCCTGGCCAGCCCCATGCAGATGTTTGCGTGGCGCGCCTGGTGAGGTGTTCAGCGGCGCTAGCGGTTCTTACGGCTGCGCCCATCAATCCCCAGTCAGCGAACATCGAGCGTACGTCGGACATCCTGCAGTATCTGTGCAACTTCCATTTCGGTTCTCTAGTTGGGACGCAGCAGAAGTTGTACCCCGAGCAGCTGTTGCTCACTGGAGAAGACTGGGTGCTCAAATGGAGCTGGAACAGACGCGCATGTCAACCGCAGTTGTGGCCTCTTTGCGTGGTATCGCAAGGACGTGTTTCGGCCTACGCATTACCGAGGCTGTCTACCAGTATCGTTTGGGTTCCGAGGTCGCGTTGCTGTTACTCGTTTTGAGCGGGGACCCTGTCGCATTATGCACATCATAATGTACGTCCCAGAAGCACCATGGGATAAAACGAGTACTCCCGTTTGGCTTGCTACAACCGCGGCTATCATGAAATGGTTCACGCAAACACTGGACAATGTAGGATCGCGCTGGATTCCGATAGTATGCATGGACCTCAATTCGGGCTTCAAGTCTGAGGGCGACGTGGTTGGTGCGTATGAGCCCCACGAGGATGAGGGTCATTCTGCTTCGGCAATTTACTGGTATTGGAAGCTCACGACCTTATGCTTGTGAATATAAATCTCGATGCTGGCCCCGCGTACTTCAGTGCCCATCAACTGGGCAAGACCATCGACTATGTCTGTGCATCTCGGGACCTCAGCGGCAGCATCACCTGTTGTACAACGCTACGTGCTTCTATGAGACGCTTGCAGGTGCACCGGGAAGGAAAGCTGTGGAACCATATCCCCAGTGGAGTTGGTTTCGCAGGCAACGTTTTCGAGCCCAGGCCCGAGCAAAATATTCGTGTCAAGCTGGACGCTACTGCCATGAGTGCTTATCACAACGAGGTAAAGGTTGTACGTCATTTGAGCATGGCCGAGCATGAGGCGGCACTTCGAGCACGACGGTATGGACGTGAGTTGGTTGCACGCTCGAGTGCCATGATCATCGATGGACCACGGTATGCCGCAGCACACACCTGTACCACTGGACCGCCAGACGAAGTGTGTTTCGTAAGTGCTCCGCCAACGCCGAGAGCTACGAGGACGTACTTCTTGGGAGCAGTCTCTCTATCAGATGCATGCAGACTGCCGTGCTCACGTCTCGTCGCCGCGCCCCCTGCTGGTGACCCAGGTGCTGGAGTCTCCTGGCCAGGTGGCCGAGGCTGGCCCGCTTTTTGGCTTCGAGGCTGCCCTCTGCGAGGGCTGTCCGTCGGTCTTGGGAACCGCGCCTTTTCCGACGTCCTCTCATGCGCCACGCAACTCGTCGACTAGAGAGGGGCGCGAACGCGATGAGATCCAGGATGCAGTGTGCAACGGTCTTGTCCAGAGTACGATGTCAAGCTTGACGGAGGAGAGTAAGTTGCGGAGCGAATTGTTGCGTGCTCAAAAAACGTCAGTTTTGACAACGAGTTCAGGAAGAGCGAGTTGACGCCTGTCACCAAGCAGTACGGCGGCATGGTCGCTTTGAGGCTCATAGGATAGCTCGCACGACTGCAAATGAAGGTCGGGCCCCCAGAAAAGGGGCAACTACATGCTCCTCCCGAGCTCTGCCACAACAGAAGAATGGGTGGATCGAATGCAGGAGCGTGGATAGCATGGTTGAGCCAGCAGTCAGCTCATTTCAAAAGACGCACTGGATGGTCTCACCAACATGCATCAGCCAGCCTTGGTCCCCGACGGTGACATGATAGACCAGATCGACCAACTTTTATATACCCTATCCAGAAGCAAGCATGGGAGCTAAGACTGTGGCGAGCACCTCCTACCCACTCCACGCCGTCGGAGTTGCTCAGAGTGGCTTTGGCGCCGAATTGGATCAACAAACGTCTTCTTCAGCCTGCGGCTGGCCTTGCTGCCCGAGCAGATCGACCCGAGCTGAAGACGACGCTTTCTCGGCATGCATGTCGCTCTTTGGCATTTGGGATTTGTCGTGCCCTGGCGCCCCCGAAGCAGTGGATGATCAGTGAGGTGGATCGTCCTGCC